AATTCCCTGCCACACCCTGCACACCTCCTGCTCCTCAACTCCCTGCCCTGAACCCCCGCCACACCCCGCACCCTTCCTGCCCCCTCTGGGGGCAGGGAGGGGGTAGAGTTGGGGTGAGGACTTAGGGGAAGGGGTGGGAAGAGGCAGGGCAGGGGCAGGGCCTCATGGAAGGGGTGGAGTGGGGACGGGGCTAGGGGCAGCAAGTGGGGGGTGTCAGTGATGCGGCCCTTGAGCCAATGCACTAGTCCTCATGCGGCCCTCGAGGTCATCTGAGTTTGAGACCCCTGGTCTAGCTGGAATGCTGCCCTCCTAAGGTCAACATGACTAACATTTACATTGACATATTTCTTTTTTCTCTTCTTATAACTGGAATCTCTAAGTTTATCATTATTATGAATAAGGCTGCGAGTTTGTCACGGAGGTCATGGAAGTCACAGATTCTGTAACTTTCCGTGACTTCTGCAGTGGCTGGTGCAGCTGGCCCGAGGGCCACCTGAGCAGCTGGGGTAGCCCCTTGGCCAGCTGCACCAGCCGTTGCTGGGGTAGTTTTGGACCACCGCCCCCGCAGCAGCAGCAGGAGTTTGGATGGGGGGGCTCAGGTCTGGGGGTTGGGGCACGGGGAGGGGTAAGGGCTCTGGGCGGCGCTTACCTTGGTGAGGGGAAGGGGGAGGCTCCTTGGAAGCGGCGACATCCCTCGGCCCCTAGGGTGAGGCACGGCCAGGGAGCTCTGTGCACTGCCTCCACCTGCAGGCACTGCCCCTGCAGCTCCCACTGGCCATGGTTCCCGGCCATTGGGAGCTGCGAAGCTGGTGCTCAGGGAGGAGGCAGCACACACAGCTGCCTGGTTGCGCCTCCACCTAGGAGCTGAGGGATGTCACAGTTTCCGGGGAGGCTTGGAGCTGGGTAGGGAGCCTGCCAGCACCACCAACCCCGGCACCCTAGCATCAGTGGGGGGTCCTGGGCTGTGTGCTGCTGCCCCTCCCCCCCATAGCACCCGTGACACCCCCCCCCCAAATCACCTGCAGCACCCCCAAGCTGTCCCTCTCCCCAAGATTTAGTCAGGGGTAGGTATATAGTGCAAGTCATGGACAGGTCACGGGCTGGGAATTTTTGTTTACTGCCCGTGACCTTTACTAAAAATACCCATGACTAAAACGTAGCCTTAGTTATGAACAAGTGACTAATAGAAGAATTAATTTGGTTTGGGGGGGGTGTTTTCTTGTGGGGTTTTTTTTTTAAACAGATTTTGAAAGATCCAGTCTTGTAGAGTGGGATGTAAATTGAGTTTTGGAACTAAGTAATTGATTATGTCTCAGTCAATTTTCTGTTCTAGTAGAAAATAAATATAATCACACTGGATATTGTCTAGGGAACGGAAGTAACAACCACCAGTTTTATTAATACTGCATCTTTGGGATGTTACACATACACACTTTATTTCTAAAAAAAGCAAAATCATCCTTAGACATCTTATTTTTGTTGTATTTTTCTGTCCACCCACTTTCCAAAGCCAAGTTCTTCCCACCTTCTACTGAGCAACAAAAAACACAATCTCTTTCCTCAATAGGTCTTTGAGGGAGAGGAATCTGCTCAGATCATGAATCCAGATCCTAGACTATGGAAGATCCTGGTGCAGGGAGTGATCCAAAACCCGTTGAAGGCCATAAGAGTCTTTCCATAGACTACAGTGGGCTTTGGATTTCAGTTCTCAGCATGTCCCTTCAGAAAGCTTATTCCTATAATTAATATATAATTGAACCTTAACTATGCAACCTCCATAACCTCTTTACCACCCCAGTTTTCCACTCTCATGTTGACCTTCTTCAGAACTGTTGTTATTGACTAATTAGCAGGTGTTAAAACATTTTCATCCAGTCTGTTTCTGTTTTCCTGAATCTGAAAACGAGTTATTTTCGGCTGAAAGCATATGTTTTTCCCTTTCAAAAGTGACAAAAGGAAACATGCATACATTTTTCTACTTTTGAAAGCTGAGAAACTCTGTCCCATTTCTGACCAGCACCCTGCTATTGTACCGATGTTAGGGGAAGGTATTTTCAGAGTAAAAGTCTCAAACTTGATAGCGCCAATTCTATATTTAAGGTCTTTTAAAAAAAATACTTAGTACTTTATATATAACCCTAGTATTTCAAAATAAGCTGAATATAAAATGTAATGTGATATTTTGACACCTATTCAAAGATATCTGAAACCAGCTTGGATCTTCAGAATCTTTGATTTTTTTTTTTCCTAGAATCTATGGCCCCAGTTCAGCAATGAGCTCCTTACAGATGTACATCCTCGATTTTGCCTGCATGGAGCTCAT